AAACATTTTCAATATGTGATAAACTCATGTGGACTGATTAATTTAACCCAAGTATTTCAACTCGAGTTTAGTTTCCTAATTTATTTGACCTAAGCATTTCAATTTGAGTTTAGTTAAGAGTTTCTTTGACCAGAATAAAATTTTTCTTTGTTTTACGAGTGTCAAGGATTTTGTTTATTACTTATTTTTTATTCTGTCGTTTTTTAGTTGAATTTAAAACCTGATTTTATTGTCAATTCCAAGAAGTAATTTTGGCTAATTTGTTTACAATGTGTCATCCAAAAATGTTTAAACTTAATTTGACCTGTTTATGATGTTTATTCGTTTTCTTTGTCCTGCTTCCTTCGGCTTTACCCTTTTCAGAAGTCACCACAACGAATCATTCCTCTTAGGCCTTCATCAGACCTACGCCTCACTTCCTCCAAGACCACCCCTACTCCATTTCTCTTTCTATCCACACCCTGATAAACCAGTTTGAACCCATCACGACTGCTGTGAGCCTTGCTGCTCTTCCACTTGGTCTCTTTGACACCTCAACCATCTACCTTCCTTCTCTGCATCATGTCACCAGCTCTCTGTCAGCAGCTCTTCACCTTCGCCTGTATGTTCAATACGTTTGTTATCAAATTCACCTCTGTCCCTCGCCCGCTCAGTGAGTGGCTGTCCATCTGTTGTGGCTGTCTGACATCTACTTCTTCCCACACAGTGAGATGTTCCAACCTTACCTCCAGCTGACTCACTCTGACTCCATCTCCTGGTTAATTACAGCTCGTACACGTGATGTCCCCTCTGGCCTTGAGATTCAAACCATTGCTGCAGATCAACTGTTCCCGAGGTCACTGCCTCCTTCCTCACCATCAACTCTGATTGTACAGAAAATTGTTTTTTAACCTTGCCTTATTGTCCCCGTTTATGTCTGGCATCAGACAGCTGTGGTGTAATCAACTGCGTGCTCGTATTATCTAATTCCGCCGCCTCTCTCCTACTGGTTTTGTTTTAAACGATGCATTACCTTTCCCCTAGTTCAAACGATGTATGAAGTTCCTCTCCCAACGTTCAGTAACTGAAAATGACGTTCTGATCTCCTCCTGCCACGATCACCCCTGTTGATGTACCACCTCCAAGCACCTCCTCCCCCTTTTAAGCTGTATTCAGCTTACTCCAACGTTTTTTACTTCTGCTGACGTATTTCTGTTAATTTCTGAACATTGTGCTTCTTCCAGCTAATGTTTGGAAGATTCAGATACACCTGCTAACATTACAGATACCATTTAGCTGTTTCATGCCAATATCAGCTAATTCCTCCTTTATTTTAAATTAATCCAACTTTTACAGCCTAATTCAGGAACACAAAGCCCTACCCACTTACATTTGGTATTTTAAGCTTATTTCTGCTTGTTTTAGCTATTGGTCTGCTGGTCTTTAGCTAATTGCCTTTTTTCGTTTTGATACTTCCCATAATTTGTGCATTTTATCTCTGATATTGATGCTGTAGATTTTCCACAGGCTTCACATGTACCACATTTATGAGTTCCACACCTGATAACAACATTCACACACTCAGGCATTCAAATATTTTATTTTTATGCACTTCTGGCCGCAGTTGTAATAAAACAAATACAAGTCTGTGGTATGAAACAACCCAGAGTCCAGACTTGTCCTTGCCTTATACATCAGCGCCCCCTTGCGGTCAGGATATGGAAGCTCCACTCACCCACAGACACACACAGAAAAAAGAGAAAAGTAACCCTTCGCTTCGGCCCCACACACAGCTCACTCCCCCCTTTTTTCCTTCTCTCCATTGTTACGTCTCCCTCAACGCCTCCCGGCCTTGAAGCCTTCACACGACATCGAAAACATGGCGCAAACAAAAGTTATTACAACATCCTAAAACTAATGCGATCCCTGATCACATGAAATTTGGTAAACTCACTACGTCCTTGCACATTTCCCTTTAAAGCTAACTATTAATGGAGTACAGTTTATGATGCAGTTGACACATCAAAAGGAGTACCCGCGCCTTAGCCCCGCCCCCGTGCTTGACACGAGCGGACCTTAATCTCGTCAGATGTAAGGTTTTGATGGCCAGCTCCGCTGAGAACAAAGGGAAAATGTGTCGGTCACCCACGTGACCTCCGGCAGGCCGTCTCGCCTTCCTCCGGCCACAAGTAAAACTTGTGAAACTAACTAAACACTACCTAAACGTCAAAGAAAGCGTTCGGCGCTTAAACTGTCTGAATATCGTAACCCACCTCGTCAGAATTAACACGAATCACCGGAAGTTAGCTTAAATAAAACCATCTTTATTTCCGGAGATGGCTGCATGCACACCAACAGAGGAATTTGAATTTAGTTTTAATTTGATTTACGTCCGAATAGCCAGTACTCCGGACCGTAAGGTCCAAACAGTTAACCAGCTTACCTGAAATTAATGGGCCCAGTTCCTCTCTGCGTGTGCACCGCAAGCCACCTCGATCCAATTCAGTCTAGGCCGCGTCTCGCTGCACGTCGGGTCACCATTCTGTCGTGGCTGGCTATCACGTCGTGTTCAAAACAGCTGAGACATCGCCCTCGGTATAAAAGATTTATTTGACAAAACATGGGTTACAGATATTCAGAGACAAACAATTACATTAATAAGATATATGCATATAGATGGAGCATTAAAGAACGAACCGTCTCGGTGTGCGCCTCCCGGAAATGCTCGGTGGGCGTGTGTTATTTCCGGCCTTTTATCACAGTTTGAGAAGGCTAGCTTTCTGATTGGTTTAGCTTCTGTTGCTATGGTTACGACTCTAGCCCGCCCCCTCAAGGACGTTAATGTCTATATTTCAGATAAGAAGTTTTGCCTCACTGAAATCGTTCGTTTTAGCTGTTTGTTTAACGTGATTATACCTTAGTGATACCAAATGATTTGAGTTAAAGTTGTTTATTTCTAGGAATAATTAATAACTAATTTAGTCAAACTATATTAAGTCTAAATTAAAGAGATGTGTTCAAGCTTTATTTATGTTAATCAGTCTGCTATCTGGCATGATTTGATTGCTTGTAAAATATCAAATGTGAACTTGTAAAATTATCCTTAGCTAATATGAGATTATATTTAAAGGTCAACTAGTTAGAATTAGCAAACATTTTCTATAAATATAGTGCAACCCTGGAAGAAAGACACACACACACTTTGTATAACATGACATTTGAATGCTTGATAGGAAATATAAAAAAGGTATAAAAATATGAAATCCAACATGGGTCTTCAGAGATGTCCTCATTAGGAGGCAACAGAATCGTTCTCCTGTACACAGTTTAATGGTAGGACAATCTGAGGTTAGATGGACTCTGCCACCCAGAACCATCTCATCCATTGGACTTACTGCTTCACATTATTTTGGGATGAGTAATTAAAATTAAACAGTCTGCGTCTTCCAGTCGCCTTTATGTTTTTGGCATTCCTTGCAGACATTTCTTCAGAGGAACTTTCTTAGTTCAAACTGAAAAGTGAAGATTTTCAGAATGTGGCATCAGATTCCAACTTTCCAGAACTGACAATGCAAATTTGGACCCAATCCAAATGGTTCTAAAGCTCTTTGCACCTTCATGCACACATTGCTCAAGTGGACCAGGCCAACAAAGACCCTAATGACCCTCTGGAGGGGAAACGGTTTGCACATGAGTTCAACTAGCATAAAAAGACCAACTAGCTGCAAATTTAAAGCTTCGAGCTTCACTTTTTCCTTTGAACTGAGAAATCTTCTTTGACGGGAAACAAAATGTCTTCAAGAGACAAATGAAAACGAAGTCCAGTTGCCATGAAACACTCTTACAATCCAACTGGTTTCAAGAGACGGTCTTTAAGAACTGCTGTCTTTAAGGTTCACAGTGGATGACAACGCTGCAACAGCATCAAACATCAGCTAGACGGTCTTTGCAGGGTCTTGTGGAAGTCTTAGACATGTACTAGGAACATGACAGAGTAATATCTCATGGAGGGTTTTGAGCATCCACAAAGCTTTGGTACCGAGGTACCGTGGCAGCAGCGCACTTATGATGTGAGTCCCTCACCTTTTAGTGTGCACTGGTTGTCAAAAACTTAAAATAAAACAGTTCACGATGGCCTAATGTTTGGGCTATGACCGTGGTAGTGACGAGGCCATGAAAGCAATCCCGGACATGATACATGTGACGGTATCATAGCGTGACCTTTCACAATCACAAAAAACTATTTCATGTGTACTAAGAGCATAGCAGTGCCATGACTGCTTGTTCTAACAGATCATGCAGGTCTTCATCCAATGTAAGAGGACCTTAATAGATTTGGTTTTACTTTAATATCTTCCCAGACAAAAATAAAACCATTGAGCACTGAACAGGAATGGATGCATTCACACATTTAGCACAACAATCTATAGGGGCTGGCACAGAGGTTAAAGGAGGCAAGCCTGTGATCGTGAGGTCGCCAGCTCGAATCCACAGACCAACAACATTAAAATGTCGGAGGAAAATATACGCATATATATATCTATATATATATATATATAGATATATATATAGGAAGCTAAATATTCCATGTTTTTCTCCTTCAGGTTGAATTGCTGTGACCTTTCACAGGAAAGCTGTGAAACTCTGTCTTTAATCTTCGGCTATCAGAGCTCCAGTCTGAGGAGGCTTTATTTAAACCACAACAACCTCCAGGACACGGGGGTGAAGCTGCTTTCTGTTGGACTGAAGAGTCCCCACTGCAAACTGGAGTCTATCAGGTCAGAAATACAATGAAAGAAATCTTTTCACACCAACTAGAAACTTTTTATTGAAGCTGGCTCAAATAATCAACAGGGCCTTGAATCTATGAAATATTTGAAGAGAATACTTTCTCATGGTGAACTTTTGTTTTGTAGTATGCAGGCCTGTAACCTGTCTGTGTACAGCTGTAAGACTCTGGGCTTGGTCCTGAGCTTCCAGTCCTCCAGTCTCAGAGAACTGGACCTGACCAACAACAACCTGGGGGATTCAGGAGTGAAGCTGTTATCTGTTGGGCTGGAGAGTCCACAGTGCAAGATGGAGACGGTTGTGTAGGTATTAAGTTTGTTTATACATGACGGAGAGGTTTTCTAGGTGTAACGTTCAGGTTCACTGTGTTTCTTTAAACTGTTGCTTTACAATAAATCATAGTTATCAAACCTTAAGACTCGTTGATAAACACCAATAAACAATCCCTCCAACATGACAACATATAATACATGAAAACACTTCACAAAAAAATTGTGAAGCAATGACCCCATAATTTGTTACACAATCTCATGCTACATTGTGCTAATGCTCTGTTTTCAATGCCACGGTGTTGTGACAAAAAGTGAGTAAAAACACTCTTAAAGTTATTAAAACTTCAAATGGACTTTACGAATTAAATTCATGACCTTTGTCATGTTTCTGCCTGCTATTCTGCCACGCTCACTCCACCCACAGCTCAATCAACACTCAAGCTCTCTGCCAGATTATCATACCATTCTTGGTTCCTGATATCCAGCCACTCTTATTCATGCTCACGTCTAGTTTTGATCTTCTCGTCTCGACCTCACGCCTGCCTTGTGGATTTACTGTTCTGCCTGCTCCTCGTCTGGTTTTGTCCTGCCCATCTGACCCTGGTTTCGACTACTTCTTCTGCCCATGGATTTTGGCTTTTTGCACTGCCCTTTGGAATGGTTTTTCTGGACCTCTGTCTACCTGTGCTTGACCCCGGCATCGTCTCTTGGACCCCGCTTTTGGATTACCCCCCTGACCACACCAACCACAGCGCTCCTCTGCAGCTGCTCTGACAGGTGGCTCTCTACCATCTGTCTGTGAAGACGTATCTCCACAGTTGGATCCTGATTCCCTCCAGCATATGCAAATTAATGAAATTGTTCTATTTGTTTTAAACTCTTGTTGTCTGAATATATTTTAAATCCTGAAATCTGAATATTGACAACCTTATTACAGCGTGGGCAGCACGATGGATTAGTGGTTAACACTGTTGCCTTACAGCAAGAAAATCCTGTGTTCAATCCCTGTTTTGGACCTGGGTTCTTTCTGTCCTGAGTTTATTTTCTCTTGTGGATTTTCTCAGAGCTCCAGTTTCCTCCCGCGGTTCAGAAACATGTATGTTATCCTGCCTTCAGGCCCAGGCCTTCCTTTTAAAAGAGGCTGGGCTGATAAATTAATATAAATGAATTAAAAAATATTTGCCTGAACTAATTTTACATAAATAAATTTTGTTCCATATTTTAATGTTAGATTATCAAATTTAACATTTACATTTATTTTCAGGGACTGCAGATCAAAATTCGATAAAAAGCTAGTTCAGTGCATCTCTGCTAAATTAGGTTCATGTCTTCTGTCCCAGACAGACGCTGCTCTGTGGGGTGGAGTTGATGGCTTTAAATTTAATCCCCCGTCATTTTCCTCATTATAGTCATAAAAAATAAGTTGTAAGAAGAGTCTGAAAACATGTTAAATATGAAAACATGCTAAATATGACAACATGTTAAATATGACAACATGCTAAATATGACAACATGCTAAATATGACAACATGCTAAATTTGACATGTTAAATATGACAACATGTTAAATATGACAACATGTTAAATATGACAACATGCTAAATATGAAAACATGCTAAATATGACAACATGTTAAATATGAAAACATGCTAAATCTGACAACATGCTAAATATGAAAACATGTTAAATATGAAAACATGCTAAATATGACAACATGCTAAATATGAAAACATGTTAAATATGAAAACATGCTAAATATGACAATATGTTAAATATGACAACATGCTAAATATGAAAACATGGTAAATATGACAACATGCTAAATATGACAACATGCTAAATATGACATGTTAAATATGACAACATGCTAAATATGACAACATGCTAAATATGACAACATGCTAAATATGA